TTATATTCCCATTTGCTGTCAGTGATGCACAAATCCAAACAAGCAGAAGGCATCTCCCCACCAGTGAAAATGGCCTGTGTCGAAAAGACACAGAATAGAACTGGGAATATCAGTGTCGGTGGGAACGTGGTCCAAAAGAATCCTCGTCAGAGGTGATTCACCCTCAATGGAAAACTGTTTGTTTCCTTTTATTTTATTTATTTATTGGCAGTGTGCAGGGATTACTCCTGGCTCTGTGCTGAAGGATTAGTCTTGGCAGCTCCTAGGGACTAATGAAACTCAGGCAGCTGCATACAGAGAAAGCACTGAGGTGTATACTGTCACTGTGGGCCCTGAAAACTGTGTTTAGACACTCCAAATCTCATGAGTACCATTTCCACCGCTGCCAAATGACCAGTGATTCCACTTCTTGGCATCTACCTCCACAATACACACACACACACACACACACACACACACACACACACTAACTTGAGCGGCCAGCAGGGAAGGTGTTTGCCTTGCACTCAGCTGATGGAGGATTGATCCTGGCACCCCAGATGGTTCCTCCCTAACCTCACCAGGAGTGATCCCTGAGCACAGAGCCAGGAGAAAGCCCTGAGCACTGCCAGAGGTGACTCCCACCAAAAACAAACAAAAATTATGAGCTTGAAAGACATACATATCTATATTCAGTAAAGCACTAAGCCCAATAGCCAGTGTGAAGAAACAACCTAAATGTCCAATGACAGATGAATAGACAAAGAAGCTGTAGTATATATTGTATTATATATAATATATACATATATAAAATTATAATACATAACAATATATTATAATGTATTATAATATATTAAAACATATAATACATTCTATAATATATAATAGTGGAATATTATAGAACTGTAACCGCTGTAAGAGATGAAACGGTGCAGTGATGAAAAGGTGCAGTTTGCGAATGATTACGAAGAAGTCGAAGGGAGGAGCCGGAGCGATAGTATAGCCCGGAGGGCATTTGCCTTGCAGGCGGCTGACCCAAATTCGATCCTCGAAATCCCATAGGATCCAGATTCGATCCTTGAAATCGCATACGATCCTCCAGCACCGCCAGGAGTAATTCCTGAGCTGAGTGCAGAGCCAGGAGAACCCACGAGCAGCGCTAGGTATGACCAAAAAAAAAAAAACCAAACAAAAACACACACAAAAAAAAACCCTCGAAGGGAGATTGAAGGTCGGGAAGAGTTTCTTGGGTACCCTTTCTGGGGGTGCCCACACCTAGTCGTGATCAGGGCTTATTCCTAACTGCTCTCAGTGATCACTCCTTCACGCCTGGAGGTGCTCAAACCCGGGTTTAGCCATTGAAAGAGCTATTTTTCTTTAAAAAATAAAAAAATTGGAGACGGGGAGGTCACTCGCGGCGGTGCTCAGGGGTTCCTCCGGACCCTTGGGTTGGTTGGCTGTGCACTTAGGATGGAGAGGTCCCAGGGGTTGAGCCTGGGCCGGTGGTGTGCAAGGGTAGCGCCTCAGCGGCTGGACTAAGGCTCCGGGCCCCCTTTTTCCCTGTTTGGTTCTTATTTGCTTTCACTTTGTTTGTGGACCACGCCCAGCAGTGCTGGGGCTACTCACATAGAGGTGCAGGGGGCGGTTCTCTTCGTGGGGTGTTGCACTGGCGGTGCTCAGGGCTCAGGCGAATCGGCGCAAAGACCTGCAACTCCGCCGTGCACAGCAGGCGCTACAGCCCTCTGAGCTCCGCCCAGACCCAGGCTCCGCTTTATGATTGGCTGAGAAATACGCTGCTCATTGGCTGGGCTGTTGCTGGGCGGGGAGAAAAAATCTTCCTCTTGGGGCCTGAGCCATATAGCACCGCCCAGAGGATGCTCACCTTCTACGCTGCCGACCTGGGTTTGATTCCCAGCATCCCATCTGGTCCCCAGTGCACCGCCAAGAGTAACCCCTGACCACTCGGCTCTTCCTAGGCCAGAGAGTTAGTACAGCAGGTCTAGTTGTTTGGCTCGCCTGTGTTCGATCTCCGACATCCCATTAGGAGAGAGAGAGAGAAATAGTACAGTGAGTAGGGTGCTGGACTTGCATGCAGCAGACCTGGATGCAGTCACCAGCATTCCACATGGTCCCCCAAGCCGGCGCTTGCCTTACTCCAGACTGACCCAGGCTCACCCAGTACGCAATACGTTCTCCTGAGTCCCTGCAGGAGTGATCTCTGTTTGCAAAGCCAGCAGTCAGCCCTGAGCACTCCTGGGTGTGGGGAAGGAAGGGAGGGAGGGAGGGAGGGGAAGCAAAGGTACAGGAAGTAGGGCGCTTGCAATGTATGACCTTGCACCAACTCAGATTGGATACCTGGTATCCTATTTGGTCTCCCAAATAGCATGCTAACTGCAGAGCCAAGAGTAACCCCTGAGCACAGCAGGATGAGGCCCAAAACACAAAAGAAAAAAGTTAAAAAGAAACAAACAAAAAAAAGAAATTAAACTGGGTCTTGTCAGCAGCACTGGGCCTGGACATGCCTGAGGCTGAATTCTTGCCTCAAGCTCCTCTGAGCCAAAATGAAAGCGAACAAAAAGATCCAGGACTAGAGGACAACTTTGCAGTGCGTGATGGGATAAGAAAAGAGAGGCTTTATTTTCAGGGGGAGGAGGGCAGTGCAGGACCACTGTCATTCACAGGAGAGATGTGGAAACTGTTCAGAATATGAACTTCCGTGTAGGAGAAATAGTACACTGTTTAAGACACTTGCCTTGCATGCAGCAGACCTAGGTTCAGTCCCCAACATCATCCCATACCCCACCCTGAAGGAGTGAATCCAGAGCGCAGAGCCAGAAGTCATGCCTGATAATCACCAGGTGTGGCCCAAAAGCTAACAAATAAAAAAAAGAAGATGGATTTCCACTGAGGGTTCCCCTGAGAAGCCCTAGGATCCAAGGGGAGGCAAGAGAAGAAAGCATCACACCTCTGGCCCCTTCTCAGAATTTTCTCTGAATTCAGAATTCCAGCTGGTCCATCGACTTCCTGGTCCTCCCCTGGCAATCATTCCCCACCTCTCCTGAGCCCTCTCTTGCACCCAGAACCATCTCCCTTCCATACTTGTGCATGGGTGTGGGTGCAGACATGCTGCTCCCCAGGACAGGAGGGTTCTCATCTTTGCTCAGTGATCTTCAGGGACATGCACGGCCTGCACCCGAAAAGTGGCTCCTCATGTGTGACTCTGGGAAATGCACCCAGTGCCGGCTCCATGCACCAAAGGATGTTCTGACCTTAACATTTCTCCCATAGACTAAGGAGGATGCAGGATTCTGGGTTTTGGTTTTGCCAGTAACCTGGTTGTGCTCCTGGGACCATGAGATGTTGGGATGGAACCTGGCTCTGGATGCAAAGCCTGGGGTCCTGCCTGCCTTGACTTCCCAGGTTAGAGAGAATCATGACACCCATGGCCCCTGAGCCCTGCCCTAGAGCTGTCTGCCTGTGCTGACCTCAGAGAGGCCAATCAGATGTTTTGTCAAAATCATGATTATTTTGGGGAAAAATATCAACTAAAAGCAAGTTTGGTTTAAAAAAATCGTGATTGGGGCCGGAGCTATGGGACAGTGGGTAGAACATTTGCCTGGGACATGGCTGACTCAGGTCAATTCCCGGCACCCTATACCATCCCCATGAGCACACCAGGACTGACCCCTGAGCACAGAGCCGAGAGTAAACCCTGAGTACCGCTCGATGTGACCCCCAAAAACAACAACAAAAATTCCTGCCAGAAGAGTCTTGCAGTTCCCAGAGCAAACACACAGAGTATCTTTGGTTGTCATGGGATTTCTCAGGTAAGCTGATGTTGTGCAGGGGTGTTCCTGCTTTGTTGGTAGAGAAGACATTTCCTGCGGGGATGAGAGGAAAGTTGTTATTAAAGATGAATCCCTTCTCCCTTAATTTGGGGAGAAAACATCTCCATTTGGTGGGAGAGAAGGTACGTTCTGTTTTTGTTTGGTTTGGTTCAGGAACCAAACCAGGTGGGTGCTCGGGACTGAATTCCGACTCAAGGCTCAAGGACACACGTGGTACCCTATGTGGTGCAGGGGATGGAATCAGTGGAACCAGTGTCTGTGGAGTCACAGATTACCTGGTCCTGATTCACAGCAGCATATGGGCAGATAGGGGACACAAGTACCCTGTCAGTGAAACTTCTAGAAGCAGAAACCTCCAGACCATCTTGGTTTGGATAAAATCACCCAAATTCTAGTGGCAGTGAAACCTGCTAATAGCCAGGAGGTCACGACCTGCAGGAAGAACTTCCCTGTCATCGCGGAAACTTCTAGACATGGACCAGCCCTGCTCTCCTGTCCCTGAAATCAGTGTCCCAAAGCATTCTGCTGAGCTGACAAAAGGACGGTGCCAGGGATGAAACCAGTGACACCTGCCTGCAGAGCTAATGCTCCAGTCACAGAGCTCTCTCCCACCTCCCACACGGGACACTCGGGAACTGAACCCCTCAGGGACAGACAGAAAGCAAATTTAGGCAGGAAAGCATGTCTCTTGCAGAGAAACATGGACTGCAATTAAGACATTATGCATAGTATTGAAAAACAATTTATTTGAAACACCAGAATTCAAAAACACTGGCAAGGTATCCCGATATGGCAACAAACACCAACCAAACACCAGTGTCTCTCATCCATGTCCCTCATCCATAAGAATATCTTGTCTTGGGGCTGGAGAGATAGCTCAGCGGGTAGGGCGTTTGCCTTGCATGTGGCCAACCCGGGTTCGATTCCCAGCATCCCATATGGTCCCCTGAGCACCGCCAGGAGTAATTCCTGAGTGCAAAGCCAGGAGTAACCCTTGAGCACCGCCGGGTGTGACCCAAAAAGCAAAAAAAAAAGAATATCTTGTCTCTATTTACACAGTGTCACCTTCATAGGTGGGAGCAGATCTGAAGGCAGGCAGGTTGTGGGCCCACCCACATTCAAGGGCTCTGGGGGTGTCCACCATCACCTGGACCATCCCCAGAGTCACAGTCCTCAGCGAGAGGCTGAGGGGAGCAGATACTGATCCAGCCCAGTGAAATCATCGTCTCTGGGGACCGAATACATCTGGATAAATTCATCAATACCCTGGGTACTGGATGCCCAGGGGACCTCAGACACCTCCAGCTGTATCTCATCTAATGGGTCCTTAGGCTGAGAATCCGGCGCAGGGCTCCAATGAGATGCTCCTGCCTCTCTGGAGTGCTCTCCATCTGAGGCCAGGGGTGCTCCCTGGCTCAAGGAGCTGCAAGTGCTGGCAGAGCTGGGAGAAGATTCCAGGGAGTTCTGGGGAGAGCAGGGGTCCCCCTTACTCCCTGCTAGGCGCTGGGGGGCTGGCAAACTCCCCCTCTCCAGATTCATTCTCTTTCTTTTTGCTCGCTGGTTCTTGAACCAAACCTGGGAACACAGAAGACTCAATTAAGGGGATTTAAAGGGGAAGGTCCCCATTGCTCTGGAGCAGGAGAACTGAGGCAAGCTCACATCTCAGTCACATCTGAACTAGTTTCTCCAGGGTCGGAGAGATTGTGCAGGTCTAAGGCGATGGGGCAGAGCCATCTTCAATCCCTAGCATCACAGATGGTTCCAGTCCCTGCCAGGAGGGATGTCTGAGCACAGAGAAGGGGTCAGCCCTGAAAGCTGTATGGTGTGCCCCAAAATTAAAATAAAGTAAAAGAAAAAATGAGGGGTGCATAGGAACGGTGTATTTCTCTCCCCTTCTCAGAAATCCACTCCAGTATCTGAAGGCTAAAGCCCCACACCCTACACAGACCCACCCACAGACGCTCATGGGCCCAGACACAGGCAGGACCCAGCCCAGGGCACACAGACAGGGATCCAATCTCTCATGCTAATCTGGCACCAACCTGTGGTCTACATCCCAGTCAGAGAGATGCCTGAGCATAAAGCCAGGAGTCAGCCCTGAACACTACAACAATGTGGTCAAAGAAAAAATAAAGAAATGAAGCATCCATGGAAGTGTTTCCCTTTCTCAGTAGACAATTCCATAATGTTAGTGATATCCATTAACCAACAATCATAGAAACAGAAAAAAATGCAAAAAAAATATTTTAAGGACTGGAGCGATAGTACAGAGGGTAGGGCATTTGCCTTGTACACAGCCAACCCGGGTTTGATCCCTGGTATCCCATATGGTTCCCCGAGCACCACAAGGAGTAATTCTTGAGTGCAGAGCCAGGAGGAACCTCTGAGCATCACTGAGTGTGACCCAAAAAGCAAAAAATAAATAAATAAATAAATAAATTTTTAAAATTTTAATTTAAAAAATGGAAATGGTGTGTCATGACCGCAAAACACTCTCCGCCCTAGAATCATGCCATGTCAAACGTGTGCGTGAGCTCTAGATTTGGGGTGCAGTCGAGAAATATACACAAACACTTACCCGAATTACATGTATGTCCAACCTTGTTTCTGACGCCAGACTCCGGATGGTGGCCCCACCTGGGCTCAGGGTCTTCTGGGATGCGTCTCTGAGCGCCCTCAGCTGTGCCGGGCTGAACCTCGTGCGGGGCTTGCGAGTACGTTTTCCATTTTCTGCAGGAAAAAGACAGGAGGGTCTAGGAAACCGAAGGGGTCGAAAATGACTCCCTAGACAAGAGGAACAGGGATCCTGCTCCTGCTCACACTGACACCCCCCCCCACCCAGAGCTCCCCCAAGAGTGTCCATGTACTGGAAGAGACTTTCACAGCAGCACCCACACTTTTGGGCAAGAGATCTCAACACAGCTGGACAAAGGGCAGCCTCACTCGGGACACACTCTGCAGGAAACTCAGGAGAGGACAGTGCTATGCTGCAGAGCTTCCTGGCACCCCTAATGGTCCCCTGCACCCACCAGGAGGATCCCTGAGCACAGGACCAGGTCTGAGCCATGAACACTACTGACTCTGCTGTGCCACCCCCCACCCCCCACACCCCCACACACAAATAGGAAAAAAAAAGAAACAAGAAACTCAAGAGAAAGAATGACAGCGAGACAGAAACAAAAATATCCTCTTGTGTCTCCTGGGTAAAATGGCAAAGTGAGCAAAAAGGAGAAAGGAGAGAAAAGGGACAGGACCCCAGGAGCAGACACTGTGGGTGGAGGGAGGCCCTGTTCCACAAAGTGGAAGTGGGGGGACACCTTGAGGTTTGCAAGGCTCCTTGTTGGAGCAGACTTACTGCAGTGAAAGAAAGTCCGCAGTTACCTCAAAGGTTCTCTCAATTATTCACCTCCATCCCCAAATCCAACTATTTCTTACCTTCATCCATCTCACCTTCCCTAGAATATTCCAGAAATTGTTGGGTTTCCATGTTCATTGTGCCTTCTGAGCTCTAGATGGAAGTGCATGAATGATCTTGGCCAAAACAGTCTCCTTTATAGGAAACACAGTTGTAATAGGACTCAGGCTAAGGTCACACCCTAAATTGACCCAATCACAGCTTTATACTCATAAAATCCCTGGCTAAGGCAACACCCTACAGGGCCCCAATCAGGCATGCTAATGAATAATCACTAGTAGGACCCTAGTCTAGACCACACCTTACAGGAACCCCTCACACGTGCTAATGGAGTGATCTGAGGACCTCCAGAAAGTACAATAAGAGATAGTGTCCTCACATGGGGCCAACCTCACAACCTAACCCCATGTGGTTCCCTGAGCCTTCTAGGAATGATCACTGAGCACAGAGCCAGGAGTGAGCCCTGAGCACTGCTGGATATGGTGCAAAAGTTCAACAAGTAAAAACAACACACTGGCAGGATCCAGGTAAGGCCACAGCCTTAGAGGAACAGGAAGGAAGATGGAGGGGCTGAGACAATGGTGCAACCCTTGAGAAGAGTCCGGAACTGCACTCCCTTCTCCTGTCTCCCCTCCATGACGGTGTTGGGGTCACCCCCATGGCTCCTCTGTGGGAGGGAATTCTCCTCTGAGTTCTCACATCTCTCCTGGGAGAACAGTGACCTGTATGTCCCTGGGTGCCAAAGCTCATCTCCTATCCTGGAATCCTGTCCTGAGTGTTCAGTCCCAGGGCCCTGACACGGCCCAGTCCAACACTCTTTCTTGAGGTGATGGGAGGAAGTTTCTGAAAGAAAAGCCATGGGGTAGTCCCTCTTTCTTTCTTTCTTTCTTTCTTTCTTTCTTTCTTTCTTTCTTCCTTTCTTTCATTCTTTCTTTCTTTTTGGGTCACACTCAGCGATGCACAGGGGTTACTCCTGGCTCTGCACTCAGGAATTACTCCTGGCAGTGCTCAGGGGACCATATGGGACACTGGGAATCGAACCTGGGTCAGCCACATGCAGAGGCAAATGCTCTACCCGCTGTGCTATCACTCCAGCCCATGAAGCCCTCTTTCTTAATTTGGGGAGGGCAACTTTTCCATTCCACGGTCTCAAAGCTGAATCCTGACTCTATACTCAAGGGCATTTGAGGCAGGGCTTGGAATACCCTTGTGATGCGGTGCATCAAAACTGGGTTGGCTGTATGCCAGGCAATCTACTTCCTGACTGTGGTGTCTCTAACCCCAGGCTATGAGTGCCCCTTTTTGATCTCTCCAGCCCCACAGAAGACGGAACTGAATGTCTGTGGAGTCAAGGTCTCCCTGGGCCCCAATTTGCACATCTGGCAACACGGTTCTGGCAGGAGACACCCACCCCTGGTCATGGTGGCATGACTCTAGAGGAACCACTTCCCTGCTATCATGGAACCTTCTAGAAACTTCCCAGCCCTCCCCTTCTCGTCCTGGAAACCATCTTGCAGAGAAACATTCATCAAACTAAAACAGCAGTCATCAGCCTCTCTTCCTTAGCGCTTCCTACAGACATAGCCACCATCTCTTGCTAGAAGGCACCATGGCTGCCCTCAGATCCCTCGTGAAGCCAAGATCATCAAAAAGAGGACCAAGAATTTCATCAGACCGCAGTCTGCCTGCTATATCCAGATTAAGTGAAACTGGTGGAAGCCCCGAGGCATGCACCAGAGACTCGGGGCCAGATCTTGATGTTGGCGGCCACAGCCCAACATTCATTATGGGAGTGATGAGGAGATGAAGCACACACTGCGCAGTGGCTTCCGGAAGTTTCTGGTCCACATCGTGAAGAAGTTCAAACTCCTGCTGATATGCAACAAATCTTACTGTGCCAAGATTGCTCACAATGTCTTCACCAAGAATTGCAAAGCAACTGTGGAAAGGGTGCCCCGCTGGCTGTCGGAGTCACCATCCAAATTTCAGGAAAGAAAATGAACAGACAAGGCTGGAGCAACAGCACAGCGGGTAGGGCGTTTGCCTTGCACACAGCCAACCCAAATTCAATTCCCAGCATCCCGTATGGTTCCCTGAGCACTGCCAGGGGTAATTCCTGAAGTAACACCTGTGCATCGCCAGGTGTGATCCAAAAGGCAAAAAAAAAAAAAAAAGTTATTTGTTTCTTGGGCCTGAGTGACAGCACAGTGGGTAGGGCATTTGCCGTTTGCCTTGCACGCAGCCAACATGGCCAAACAAAGTTCGATTCCTCCGCCCCTCTCAGAGAGCCTGGCAAGCTACTGAGAGTATCTCGCCCACACGGCAGAGCCTGGCAAGCTACCCGTGATGTATTCTGATGTATTCGATATGCCAAACACAGTAACAACAAAAGTCTCCAATGGAGACATTACTGGGCCCGCTCGAGCAAATCGATGAACAACGGGAGGACAGTGACAGTGACAGTGAGGCCAACCCGGGCTTGATTCCCAGCATCCCAGCATCCCATATGGTTCCCTGAGCACCGCCAGGAGTAATTCCTGAGTGCATGAGCCAGGAGTAACCCCGTGCAACGTTGAGTGTGACCCAAAAAGCAAAAAACAAAAAACAAAAAACAAAAAACACCAAAAACCCAAAAAAAAAAACCAAAAATGAACAGACCGGCATTCATAATATAACAAAATATAATATATATTTATTATATTGTGTTAATATTAGATAAAATAATAATTAAATAAAATGGTACTCATCATTTTGCAAAACAATTTATTTGAAACCCCAGGACTCATAAATATGGACAAAGTGTCCTCACCCCTGCATTTCCACACCAACCCTACCCAGTGTCATTTATCCAAAAGAAGACCCTATCTCTATTTACACAGAAAAACATGTGCAGGTGGGCCCGGGTCTGCAGGGAGTCAGGATGTGGCCCTTCCACCTTTGTCAGGGGCTCTGGAGTTGACCACCATCACCTGGTTATCCACAAAATCACAGTTCTCAGGGACAGGTCGAGGAATGCAAAAACTGTTCCAGCCCGGCAAGATCACTGTGCCCGGGGACCATATTCATCTGGATAAATTCATCCATATCCTGGGGCCTCAGACACCCCCAGATGTATCTAATGGATCTTTTGGCTCAGAATCCAGCCTGGGCTCCAGTGAGACACTCCTGCCACTCTGGAGTGCTTCCCATCTGAGGCCGGGGTGCTCCCTGGCTCAAGGGGCTGCAAGCACTGGCAGAGCTGGGAGAAGATTCCGGGGAGTGCTGGGGAGAGCAGAGGTCCCCCTTACTCCCTGCTAGGCGCTGGGAGGCTGGCAAACTCCCCCTCTCCAGATTCATTCTCTTTCTTTTTGCTCGCTGGTTCTTGAACCAAACCTGGGAACACAGAAGACTCAATTAAGGGGATTTAAAGGGGAAGGTCCCCATTGCTCTGGAGCAGGAGAACTGAGGCAAGCTCAGGTCTCAGTCACATCTGAACTAGTTTCTCCAGGGTCGGAGAGATTGTGCAGGTCTAAGGCGATGGGGCAGAGCCATCTTCAATCCCTAGCATCACAGATGGTCCCAGTCCCTGCCAGGAGGGATGTCTGAGCACAGAAACAGGGGTCAGCCCTGAGAGCTGCATGGCGTACCCCAAAATTTAAAAAAAGTAAAAGAAAAAATGAGGGGTGCATAGGAACTGTGTATTTCTCTCCCCTTCTCAGAAATCCACTCCAGTATCTGAAGGATAAAGCCCCACACCCTACACAGACCCACCCACAGACGCTCATGGGCCCAGACACAGGCAGGACCCAGCCCAGGGCACACAGACAAGAGATCCAATCTCTCATGCTAATCCAGCACCACCTGTGGTCCACATCCCTGCCAGGAGAGATGCCTGAGCATAGAGCCAGGAGTCAGTTCTTAGCACTGCAGGGGGACCCCAAAGCCAGATCAAAAAGAAAGAAAGAAAGAAAGAAAGAAAGAAAGAAAGAAAGAAAGAAAGAAAGAGAAGTAAAGAAAGAAAGAAAGAAAGAAGTAAAGAAAGAAAGAAATAAAGGATCAATGGAACTGTTTCCCTTTCTCCAGAGACAATGTCTCTTTGACAATGCCACTAACGTGACTCTCCATCAACTAATAATCATGAGAACAGAGAAAAAAATGCAAAAAAAATGTTATTTTCATTTGAAAAAAAAAAAAACAAAGAAATAGTGTGTCAGAATTAAGAGAAATCTCTCCAACCTAGAATTATGTCATGACGAACATGTGTGTGAGGAGGTGTGAGCTCTAGACTTGGGGTCAGCTGAGAAATACACGCAGCCTCTTACCAGAAGCACATATATGTCCAAGCTTGTTTCTGACGCCAGACTCTGAATGGCGGCTTAGCCTGGGCTCAGGGTCTTCTAGGATGCATCTCTGAGCACTCCCAGCTGTTCTGGGCTGAACCTCATGTGGGACTTGGAAGCACATTTTCAGTTTCCTGCAGGAAGATCTAGGAAACTAAAATGGTCAAAAATCAATCGCCATGGTCAGAGAGTTGGTAGAGCGTTTGTCTTGCACACGGCTGACCTGGGTTCGATCCCCAGCAACTCATATGGTCCCCTGAGCACTCCCAGGAGTAATTCCTGAGTGCAGAGCCCAGGAGTAACCCCTGAGCATTGCCAGGTGTGACCCAAAAAGGAAAAGAAAATAAATTGCCAAAGCAAGGAAAATACAGGGGTAGAGAGATAGAACAGTGGGGAGGTTGCTTGCCATAATCTCGCATATCCCATACAATCCTTCGAACTGGCCAGGAGTAATTCCTGAGGCAGAACTAGGAGTAACCCCTAAATTCTGCCAGGTATGGTACAAAAACAAAATAAAAGAAAGGAAAGGAATCATTTCAGTCTTTTTTTTTTCTTTTTGGGTCACAGCACAGGGGTTACTGCTGGTTCAGCACTCAGGAATTACTCCTGGAGGTGTTTAGGGGACCATATGGGATGCTGGGGGGTGGGGGCTGGAGCAATAGCACAGTGGGTAGGGCAAATGTTTGCCTTGCACGTGGCCGACCTGGATTTGATTCCCAGCATCCGTTATGGTCCCCTGAGCACTGCTAGGGGTGATTCCTGAGTGCAGAGCCAGGAGTAACCCCTGGGCATGGCTGGGTGTGACCCAAAAAGCAAACAAACAAACAAACAAACAAACAAAATATGGGATGCCAGGGATCAAACCCAGGTCAGTCGCGTGCAAGGCAAATGCCCTGCCTGCTGTACTATTACTCTGGCCCCTCATTTCAATCTTGTACATTAAAACACTTCCATTCTGAGCACCCCCAAAGGTGTCCTTTGTATTTGGAGAGAGTTTCACAGCAGAACCCACAATATTTGTACAATAGATTTCAAGACAGCTGGAAAGTGCCCACCTCACACGGGGATACTCTCTCTATAAGAAACTCTATAGCGAGCTGGAGAGACGGTAGTGTGGGAGAGCTCTTATCTTGCACATGGCCAACTTGGGTTTGATCCCCTGACATCCCATATGCTTCCCCGAGACCACTAAAAGCAATTCCTGAGTGCAGAGCCAAGAGTAAGCCCTGAGCATTGCCAGGTGTGTCCCCAAAACAAAAACAAAGCAAAGAAACTCAAGAGAAAGATTGACAGTGTGTGTGTGGGGGGGGGGGAAATCTGAGTCTCCTGGGAAAAAGATGCCTAAATGAGAAGATGAGAAGAAAGGAGAGAAATGGGACAGGACCACAGGACCCCATTAGCAGAGGAGGTAGATATAGAGAGGCCCCACTCCCAGCAAAGTGGAATTTGAGGGACACCATTAAGGTTTGCAAAGCTCCTTTATTGAGCAGAATTACTGCAAGTTGTGAAACATAGGGGCAGAGTAAGTTCAGAGTTATCTCAAAGCTTTCCCAGAATTACTCACCACCACCCCCAAACTCAATTACCTCTTGCCCTACTTCTATCCAACCTGCCACAAAATCTTCTGAAAAGTGAGGGACATCCATGTCCGTTGTGCTCTCTGAGCTCCAGAGCAAAGTGCATGGCTGACCTAGCACTCAACTGCTGCATCTATAGGAAACACAGCGATGGGACCACCAAGCTAAGGCTATACCCTATAGGGACCCACTCACACCTCCAGGCTCTTAGGATCCCAGGCTAAGGCCGCACCCAACACAGCCCCAATCACTGATGGTAATGGAGTAACACACTGGCAGGGCCCAGAGAGATAGTACGTTGGCGGGTATGGCACTTGCCTCATGTGCAGTCAACCCTGGTGGATCCCTGGCAGCCTATATGGTCCCTCGAGCCTTATAGGAATGATCCCTGAACACACAGCCAGGAGTAAGCCCTGAGCACTGCCGGCTGGCTCATAAACAAAATGATGGTACAGCAGATAGGATTTTTACCTGTATGTGGCTGACCCAAGTTCGATTCCTCCGCCCCTCTCGGAGAGCCCGGCA